AACAGGATCAACATTCAGGGCACCGGGATCACTTTTTGACGGAATGGGAGCGTTGCCCGGCGGGTTGGCAGCGTTTCCAGTAGAGATCGGCGGGAAATCAGCAGCCGGGGGAGACAACGCCAGCTCCTGGGAGCGTAGGGCCCCAGACATTATCATTACGACGAGAAGGGCAGTTACGAGCCCAATGACCGGCCTTACCACATCTCATGCATTTCCCGTTGAAAGCACAATCAGCGGCCTTGTGACCCATGACTTTGCAAATCGAGCAGAAAGGTTTTATGCCGCGGTACCAGATACGAACAGGATATCCGTCAATTGTAACCTCCGCCAGTATGGGTTTCTCAAGCGACATCTTAAGGATACGCGAGCCGGTGAGGAGGTCAGGTCTCCCCATAAACGTCTGGCGCTTACAGAAGACAACTTTCCCGAAATGCTTGAAGTCGTCACACAGAATTTCATCATCCCCTTCGGCAGGGTAATGATGGATGTAAACTAGGGTATGTGGACGATCTGAGTTTGTGACACTACACTCCCCGCCATTAATATTAAGCATACCTCGCTCAACAAGACTCGCCTTATAGTCCGGATCTTTAAACGTAAGGCGAATGAGGCCTCTAGGAACAAATTGGACAGCCGACAATTTTCCGAAATCAACTGCCTTCTCCAACATTTTGAGAACATCCGGTCTAAAAAAGACCGTAACTGCCGCCGTGGCATGCACCACACACGTTCTGGCGCAAACCAAAACCATCGCTCAAGCGAAAAAGATTGAAAAAAAGGTGAAAAAGGGCTCAGAGAGCCAGCCTAGAAATGCAAAAAACCCACCAAGTTCAGCAAAGCTGAAAACCTGGATGGGTTACAACAAGTTCGGACCCACCAAAAAAGCCAAGAACCAGATGGGTGATCCAAACCAATAATAAAAAAGACTGGCGTTCCCTCCCGGCAGGTACTTAGCACAGTCCAATATAAGAGAATAAAGAGAAATGCTTACAAAATCCTTGCCCACATATGGCTCGGAAAGTCGCCTACCAGAGTTGCTGAGATGAAATCCCGCGTCAGGTAAGTAGAGAGGAGAGAAATTGAGATATACGGATGTGAGCGAAGTACTACAGTTATAATTCTCGATAATCATTGGTATTGAAATTCAATATTAGTGAATGGGCGTCATCATAATAGTCCTCAATCCCAAGTATAGTCAAAAGAAACTTATGAATTTTCCTTTTAAATGCTTTTTTCGTGAGCCGGCTTACGCATGTCAGGGTTTAGACAGTTCCATAACCTCGTACCAAACGCAGAGAAAGACTTCAATTTCACATGCAACCTAGATTTCGTTACATAAAAACTCTCTGTGGAAGAGAAACGCGTGTTATATGTATGGACGTAAGATGAATTAAAAAAAAAGTTCGCGAATATTCCTAGGTGTAGAAGTAGTAGAAACGTCATGTATGCATTATGGCAGAAATGGTTTCAAAATAGAGCATATTAATGGGTAGGATACTCGAAGTTATAAAAAGAGGGATAGCATGAGATATTTTGCTGGAGAAGAAAATCAATCGGAGTGTACGCTTTTGTAAAGTGAGAATCTTTTTTAAATCACTCTGAGCTGCCTGGCCCTAAGCAGCTATACCGTAGAGCGTGTAGGGAAAAATCAGCAAACGGTAAATTCGAAGAAGGGCATTTAAAGGTACATGATGTCTAAGTCTAGCAATTATACCGACTATTTTGCTAATCTTCGAAACAATATGATGAATATGAGGCCTCCAGGTTAAGTTCTTGTCAATTAGAACACCCAAACATTTTACATAATCTTTGCATTCAAGAAGTGTGAATCCATTGTTGTTATCCGGAATTCTGATACATAGCTGA